ACAGACAACCTCTCGTCAATATGCGTTTTTCGCATTGCATTGCTGCAAAAAACGCATAAAAATGTTATCAGAAGTTTTCTTCAAAGCAACCGTTGGAGGGCCAGTAACATCCTTAGCAGTATTTCCGTATCTCATGTACAGATGCGTGAAGGTTTTGGCGGAAAAGTCGCTTACTCAGAAACCAGGAAATTTAGGAAGCTGAAATTCTAAGAATATGTCCCCAGAGATTCGCGCTAAAAAAAACTTCCGAATGTTGTCAACACTCATAAAATCCCAAGTAATAGTAGCACTGAATGTTGTGGGGATTGCCTTTCGGGGGAAATCTGACATCTCCGCTAGTATAACCTTCATTTCGATACCCTGCAAGCACTGAATTTTAGTTCAGCGTGGATTAGACAGACTTTGCGCAGAAGAAATACAGACACAAGGCAAAAAGACCGCAAAACATTTAGCAGCCTGTGCAACTGAGTTACCTTGAGTCAAAGAGATTACCAGCAGAATGGAAGAGATCCAAAACGTTGTCAGCTAATACCCGAAGAAAAACAAGAGAACCAGAAAACAGTTAACACCGAAGAAAGAAAGCAGATCCAAAGCATTAATTATACTGAGGAAAGGTCTAATTATACCGAAAAACTGGCATCCAGTAAATTTGCTATCATATATATATATATATATATATATATATATATAAAATTTTTATGCGAGTACCATATGCTCCAATACTGCGAGTCCAAAATAACGTAATGAGTCTCTTCTGCCGTTAATGGTAGCGGAGTCTCTTCTGCCGTTGAGTCTCTTCTTGAGTCTCTTCTATGAGTCTCTTCTGCCGTTAATGTTGGGAAATAAGCATGAATTTTTTTCCCCAGCATTGATTTTGAATAAAAAAGCAAGCCACTTTAAATGTATATTTTATTCAGTAATTTCTTTTACTGCCATTTTGGTTGTGTTTGAAAAACTTTCTCACTTCTTTTATAATGCATAGGTGGAGCAGACATTCATGTTGCTGCTAGGAGCTGATGGTAACTGCGATTTGGCTGGTCAAGTGATGAACTCATTTGATATGGTAATCTTATCCATTTTTTTTTGTGCGGTTTTACATTTTCTACAAATACAAAAACATATATTTTCGAGAACTTATCTGTGTGTGTAGGTATGTATGTGTATGTGTGTGTACGTGTGTGTGTGTGTGTGTGTTCGGAGGCGAATGAACTTTGATACCTATTTTCAGCTCAGCAATCAGAAAAGTTGGGAAGCTGAAATTTTAGGATGCGAAGGGCTAAAATTTTAGGACCTCATGTTTCATCTTTCCATTCTGACCGGCGTGATTTACAGTATTTTCCGTTTAGCTTAAGTCTGAAGTCAGTTGTTAAATATATGAGAGAAAGAATTTGCTACCATAGAAAGGTTTTGTTAAATAGCCCCGATATTGTGTAGGAAACTTAACGGATTTTTGTTAGATGCGAAAGACACGTAAATTTTACCTGGAAAACTTGGTGCCCCTTTTGTTAGATATAGTTTATTTATCTTTACAGGTAAAGCTTGATTGTTTCTGCTAAACTTAGAAAATGCGTTTGTTTTTGGGCTTTGCAGCCAAGGTTCTTATTTTCGGTTACGATTAGTGATTTAGGGGGTGGAAAAGGGAAGGGCGTACGTGCGAACCACGCATGCCTAGGGGCTGAGTTTGGTAAATTTAAGTTGTACGTGGGCGGGAAAAATCCCCTTAAAATTTTAGCCTCCTAGCTTTCCTGTTTCTCAAATCAACAATTT